TTATTTAAAACACGTAAAAAAATATTATTAAATTCTATAAAGAATATTGATAACTTAATACAAATTTCTTTTAATCATTTTTATATTTTACATGAAAAATATAATTCTAAAGAAAAAAATTAATATATCTGATTTATTAAATAATTTTGTTCAAAATGTTTCTGGAAATTATTTTTGGAATGAAAACATTAAATTATATAATGTGACAATTTTAAATAAACAATTTAAATTAGAAAAAATACCTATTATTGAAGCATTGATGATATGTTTTCAAGATATATATTTTGATTCTAAAAAGATATGGAATCGAATATTTAATTTTTCATTTCCATTAACAATAAAATCATACAGAATAAGTCAAAACATTAAAAATATTCGAAATATTTTTAAACAAATGGTTAATGATGAAAATAATATATTTATTAAATATTTTATTAAAGAAAATACAAAATATAAACCATCATCAGATAGTTTATTGGATGATATTATAACAACAACATCATCAGGATTAAATATAATCAAATTAAGTATCATGTCAATTATTTGGCATTTATATGATGAAAAAAATATTAAATGGAAAATTGATATTTTAAAGGAAATTCAAATGATTAAAAATAATGATTATAGAAAATTAGTAAAATGTAAAATTTTAAATGCATTTATTTATGAAGTGTTTAGATATGAATCATCCTTTTCTTTATTAAATAATCAAGTGATTAATGATTTTGATTTGAACATAAATAATAATATATACAAAATCAAAAAGGGTACTATGATAATGTCTAATGCATATGTAATTCATCATAATAATTCATCATGGAAAGAAACTAATAATTTGAATATATTTGATCCATCTAGATTCATTAATAATAATCATTTAAAAACATATTTTTATATTCCATTTGGTAAAGGTATTAGAGAATGTCCTGGTAAAAAATATAGTTTAACAATGATTCGAATTTTTATATATTTATTTTTATTGAATTATTCAGAATACAAATTGGAACAATGTGATTATAAAAATATAGGATTTTCATTACATAGTGATTTTAATTTTAATATAATTAATTATTAATTTTAATTAATTATTATAATTTATTATTTTAAAATTATTAATATTTTTAATGAATAACAAATAATTAATAATATAAAATAAATATTTAATCTTTTATATTTTTAGTATTTTTTTTTATCTAAGAACAAAATGATAAAAGAAATTAATAAAGTTATTGATAAAATTATCAATGAATTAAACAATAATGGTGTAAAAATTGCAAATATAAAAGATTATTTTAAGGAAAATAATTATGATCCAAAAAATATTTATGAATATTGTTTAAAAAATTTTGTAAATAATCCAAAAAATATAATCATTCTTGGTCTTTGTTATTAAGGAGGTATGGGAATTGAAAAAGATAAAGAGAAAGCATTTGAGTATTATCAAAAAGCAGCTATTATGAATTATAATCTTGGAATATATATGGTTGGATATTCTTATGGTGAAAAAATTGGTGTTGAATTAAATAATAAAAAATCATTTGAATATTTAAAAAAATCAGCTGAAATGAATTGTATTATAGGAATATATGAAACTGCACAATGTTATGATCAAGGAATGGGAATTAAAGAAAATACCCAAAAAGCATTTGAATATTTTAAAAAATCTGCGGATTTAGGACGTTCAGATTTATTATCTCTTATTGGATATTTTTATTATGAAGGTGAAGGTGTTGAAAAAAACAGAAAAAAAGCATTTGATTATTATAAAAAGTCTGCTGATTTAGGATATCTTGAAGGTTTAGAAATGATAATTCATTGTTATAAAAAGAGTATCGGTACAAATATAGATGAAGAGAAAATTCGTTTTTATTCAGAAAAATCATTAAAATTATTAAAATAATTTAAAATATGAATTTTATATTATATATGATAAATAAGATATAGTTTATATTTAAGAATATATGTATAAATTAAAATT